CGACCATTTGCATCCACTGGTGGGTAACCTTGGGAGACGCCAGGTATCCTACACCCACTTGCTCTCACTGGCCAGACCCTCTGAATGGAAGCCACCAGGATGGGCTGTAGCCCCTCATTTGGTGGTGGTGGGGGGGGGGGAGGGGTATTGACCGATCTCCAGCTCACTAGTACCACATAACGGCTCGTCACTGAATTTGGGAATTGCAACTTAGTCATGCTGTAAATCTTTACTGAATGGAGCTAAAAAGAATTCTCTAGGCCAAGATTTTGTGTCTGGCTTCCTCCCCTCTGTTCCTTCGCTCCTGAAGATGTTTTGTTTCCGCTGGGGGATATGACTGCTAGTTGATTAGAGGATCGCTTTCTGGGGGTAATAATCCCTCCAAAAAAAAATTGGATCATTTCATCACTCAACCCACGACTGTTTGTGGGACACTGCTGTGCGCAATTGGCTGCCGCGTTTTGCCCACGAAATATAGTCAATTCACTTAACAGTATATTCTGTGAGAACCTTGAGACGTCTCGACAACATGATAAGACGCCATATCAAATGCAAAGATTATTATTATTGTTATTGTGCAGGCAATGGGCACCTTGCCCAAGGGTCATTGTTAACATGTGAGCCGAGATGTTTTTGTTCATTGGCAGCTTTTGTTCATTGGCAGCACTGTCCTCCTGCCCTGGTTGAGATCAAATAACTCAGCACAGGCAGGTTTTATACTTGCAGCTTCCTGGTCTGTCTGACCTAGAGCTTGACTGAATGCTGCCTGTATCCACAAAGGCATTGAGGAAGCTATTGAACCTAAGATGTTTATCCTTATAAACAACTTGCATTTATATAGTACCCTTAACACAGGAGAGACGCTTGGGAGTGCTGCACCTGCGGGATCATCGAGTGAGGGGGCTGACTATAGGCCAGGTCAAAGAAATAGGTCTAAAGGTTGGATTTGGAGAGATAATGAGGGGACAAGGCATACGTACTGAAACCGGGAGTTCCAGAGGTTAGAGGAGTAGTGGCTGAAAGCGCCAATAGTCACACGGAGAGGTCGGGGTGTGTGTCTCTCTTTCTCTCTGTTTCATCTTTGTCCGTCTTTCTTGCGCCCAATGCTCGTGTGTGAAATCTGGCTTTGCTGCTATTTTATTTCAAGCAATTGACCCCTTTCTACTTAATCGTCTCTAAATGGCTTTTTAAATTTTGCTTGCTGGAGGCTGACCTCATATCTCTCTCTGTCGGTATGTGTGTATGTCTGTATTGTTCTCTCTCTCTGTGTGTCTCTCTGTCTTTCTCTCTCTGTCTGTGTGTGTCTCTGTATCTCTCCTCTCTCTCTCTTTATCTATGTGTATCTCTGTCTCCTGTTTACCAGTTTGAAAGGGATGGACAGATTCTGTTGCTCCTTGTGGCATTTTTCTCGCTGGGTCAGACCACGGGCTACACGCACACGATGTGAATGTAAATGATACCCCTCCTGCTTACACCTTTCTTGAAGGAATTTCTGAACATTTATAATATATTATGGTTCGCGGGCTGCAGTTGGACCACCCTGCCTTATATCATCAATGCTGCCACGGTAAATTCTAAACCAAACAAAAATTAATTCCCTTTCTCCCTTTTAATTACATTAGTTAGTTTGGATTTGAAGAAATTTGGCCTTCAACCCTAAGCACTTAATGGAAATGAACTCATTTTAAGGGGGAGAAAGCCGTTACATCCTGGCAAGTTTGGATTTTAATATAGTTAATTAAATCTTCAGAGCCAAGTATATTAATAATGCAGAGATTTATTGCCTGGTCATGTGTAGAGGTCTCCTGAGTGGGAGAAATCAAGTGTGTTCACGTCACCACTGCACTGAGAGTGAGGGGTTTACTTTTCTGCCCCAGTGTGGGGATAGCTGAGGAATGAGCGAGAGATTATTGAAGGGGAAAACTGTGATCAACTATTGTTTAAATGTGAACTTTTGTGATCTAACTTGTAGGTTTCTGTTTACATCAAATGTATATGTATTGAAGTCCCGTAGCAGTAGTTAGTACACTCGCCTCGCGAGCAAGAGGACCTGGGTTCAATTCTCGGGTGAGGCGAAACCTTAGGCAAGTTTCCTTACTCTATTTACCTGAGGCAAGTTTCTTTACTCTGTTTACCTAGCAGTAAGTAGGAGCCCGGTTGTTAGTCGATTGGTGGATCACGTTTCAGGGAAATAATTCCTCAAAAAAATTGGGTCACTCAATCCATGATTGTTTGTGGCACAATTGCTTGCTGAGTTTTGCCCACAAAATATACAGTCAAGTCACTTTACAGTATATTACGTGAAGAGCTTTGAGAAGTCTCAACAATGTGATCAGGTGCTATGTCAAATGCAAGGATTATTATGTAACCATGGCTGCACTCTTACTGTACAGTTAGGCTTGCACCAGGTCACTGCAAGTAAATGTAGAGCAAAATGGAAAGGGTATTGGTCCTGCCAACCATTCTGCAAAGTAATCCGTCACTCAATTTGTGGCTGTTTGTGGGAACCTTCTTGTGCAAAAAGGCTGGCAGAAAGCAATTACTGCATGCTGACAATGACATGAACACTACAGCATTGAATGTAAGATTCTGCGATTCTAGAGCACTAATAACTTTTACACCAATCCCTCAATTATCGGACAGAAAGTGAGGAGTGGAGAATGGAACATGTGCAAGAAAAGAAAATGCAACAGGAAACTGAGCGCGCTCAAGCTTTTTAAGATAAAACTTGCATTTTTATACCATCGTCAACATCAAAACTCAAAAGTGCTTCATAGTAAGCAGCAAATTGGGCCGAATGTTGCATTTTCTTTTCTCGCACATGTTCCACTCTCCACTCCTCACCTTCTGTCTGATAATTGAGGGATGATTGGTGTAAAAGTTATTAGTGCTCTAGAATCGTAGAATCTTACAGCACAAGACCATTCAGCCCATCTTGCTTGTGTCGGTTCTTTGAAAGAGCTATCCAGCTAATCCCACTTCCCCGCTCTTACCCCACAGCTCTGCAAAGTCATCAGTGCTTGTAAATGTACGTTTGCATTCCGATTTTCTGTCGTGTTCCACACCCCCATGCTATGCCATTCGAGTTGAGCCACGAGTTCAAAGGCTGCCACTCTGTCTTCTTGGGTCAAAGGCTGTAAGCAGACCTTCCTCCATTTAGAAAGCGGACAGTTTCTCGCGCTCAGATTGCTGAAAACATCCATTAGCAACTCTTCTCCATTGTACAAATGTGTCTGGAGAGCACATTTGAGGTTGAATACATTAATGCCAAATCAGCTGTCTGGGAGAAACACTTCACTGCACAAGGAGCATTGTTACAGTTGAATAGAAAGGCATTACCAGTGACATTCTGTATTCTGCTGGGACTTAACCCAAGGGAGGAAAAATTGCCACATTTTTGCCTAATATGCGATATTTTTTAACAGATTTCTTAATCAGAAAAAATTAATTATTGAATATCAAATCTCAAATATGCTGAATAATAGATTTGTTATAGAAATGCATTAATTACACATTTTTTAAATTAAGATATATGTTAAGAAATACCACAATTTAGACCCCATTATTTCTCATTATTGTTAATGTTGGCATGACAGTTGGTCTCCGTGACCCAGCCATGAGAGGAGAAAATTCCTCTAGATCTTCACTTTAACAATACACGTGTGTGTTGATGATGGCTTGACTGGTTGATGGTCTTATGAACATTCATTGACGAGGCTCACCCATGAAGCAAGTCCCAATGCCTCATGTCAGGACTTTGAACTCACAGTCTAGGCTGCCACTGCAATGCCCTGTTGAGGGGAGAACTGCTCTGTTGGAGGCGACAGTTTTCAGATGAGACGTTAAATCGCGGTTCCCTCTGGCCATTCAGGTGGATGTTAAAAATCTTATTGGAAAAGAGAAGGGAATTTCTCCCAGTGTCCGGGCCAATGATTCCGCCCAAATAAAATTGGTAATTTACTTCCTGGCTGTTTGTGGGGCATTACTGTGCACAAATTGGCTGCCGCATTCACCTGCAAAATACAGTCATTACACTATATCCTGTGAAGCGCTTATTTTAATGTTGTGAAAATGTAGAGTAAAGCCTGATAACTATCTCTTCACAATGGGAAAGCAGATTTTCAGGTATAAAACTGGCCCAGAATTGCATTCCATCCTGTCAATGGAAATGGTCACTGTCCATTTGTTAGGAATTCCACTAAGTGCACTTAGATGAGCTCAAAGGCACACATTGAGGGTACTGTAGGATTGATCCTGTAAAGCTCTTACCATTGCAAGGTACTCTTCCACTAAACATGTCAACTACATTTCCCATTAGGGTACTAACTTGCAGCAGTGTTATTAGGAAACAAATAGGAAGATCATTTCTCTCCCTCTTCCCGTCCCCCCCTACAGTGCCTTGTCCACTCCAAGACCCACTGCTAAGTCAGTCAGTCAAGCCAATTAATGATCAATACGGTTCTGAGGAAATATGGAGTTGCCTGACTCAGGGAACACTAAGCCCTCCACAATGTCTCAGTTCTGCTTTTTCTTTGCTGGGCATGTCACCATGGAGCCAGCTCAACCCCCAGTTCTCAACCAAACAACAATAGTCTGAATGTGGGCACCAAACAGCTGAGAAGCTCAGATCTGAGCTTACACTGGACGGATTTCACCTGAACTAACTCTTCCTCCTGAAATTGAGTGGGGATGTTCAAGATCCTTCACAACTGTAGACCCATCTGTCTACAGTGCACACCTCTGACCATATTCATGCCCATTTGAAAGACTTTGATTATTTTCTTGCTGAATTGTACACTGAAGCTCCTGATCTTAACCCCTATCTTGGGTGCAAATTCTTGACTATCCTGCGCCTTGGGATATCCTCCTGACATGAAAGTAATTTGTTGTTATTGAAGGGTGCTGACACACCAAGTCTGTTCATTCTCTTTGTGAGATTCTGTCTTAGTTTTGTGTTGCTGAATATATGCAAACTGACTTTGAATGGCTTTTTGTTCTAGAACCCCCTGGGGAGAGGTCACCGCGGAGGAGGAGCATATCCGGCCCAGGAACAGCCGACAAAACGAATGGAATGGAGGATTCCACGTCGCCGTTTAAGGTGCTGTAGTCACTAACTCGCCTCAATGTTACAAAGGCTTTCTTATTCTGCTTGTGGATGGACTGTAAAGTAATGCTCCGGGCTTTAATGCTTTGGAGGAGTTATGTGCTGTGATTTGGCTGTGTGGGTAGTGGATTTCGCAACAGAACAGCACTGAGATTGTGTGCTGTTAACTGATGTTGAGTCACTGCCCTGGCACCCCATTGGTTTCCAGTTGAACAAGCTAAGCAAGCTACAGTGGCCTGTTCCCAATCCGGTTTCACAGTTGCATTAATTTTCAGCTGATGCATGTACACATGTGTTGGGCAATCATTTTGTCAAGCTGTCAATCGAAAGCTTCCATTGGATGCGCTAGATCTCTAAAGCACGTGTTAACAACAAAAGGTTTAGCACCTTGACGTCCCAAAGCGCTGGACAGTCAAGATTGGGACCTGATCTGGGGATTGGGATCAGGAGGGGAGGAGTGAAGGTGCAGTCCAAAAGGAGGGTCTTGAGATGTGCCTTGAAAGAGGCGAGGGAGGGAGCGAGGTAAAGGGAATGTGCGATGGAGTTCCAAAGGGTGGTGCAGAGAGGCTGAAGGCCCGACTGCTGATGAAAACACGCTAGGTTCCTAAAGCATACAATGAGTTGCCCAGTGAGTTGTGTAAAGCACTTTGAGACATTTTCCTAACTTGAGAATTGCTACAAAACTGTTGATTCCCATTCAGCTTGAGAAGGTGCTAGTCAGCAATCTCTTTAAACTGCTTGTGCTGGTGGGACTCCCATGATCAGCCATTAACAATCTAGGAGTTCCTGGATTTAAAAAAATCTTAATAATATTGATAATAAAAAAAATTAAGAAAAGTAACACCTATTCATTCATATGTTACGTGGCAGTGTTATTGGTCTGACTGAACATCACTGAAAACCATTTAGAAATGACCTCTGCAGAGTGATTTAAACTGCAGTAACTATAATTGCATTTGATATAGGATCTTATGACATCATTGAGACATCTCAAAGTGCTTCACAGGATATAATGTAAAGTGGATTAATTGCAGGATGGATGGGGAGTGTGATATTTGGAAGGAAAGGGCTATCAGTCAGGTTGTCGAATTCTCCACCTTTGTTTTAAAAAAAAGTTGAAATCCTCTTTTGTAGGATTACAGAGCAGGGTTATAAGTCTCATCTGAGCTATTTGCTCACAAGTATTAATTACCGTTTAATGCAGATTACTTTATCACAGGTTATAAAATGCAGATTCCGTAAAGTCACTGTGCTTACATGTGTATGTGAGTATGAGGTTAAGGCTTAAACAGTGATTACTTCTCAGAGAATGCAGCAATCAAATGCTGTTCACATCACCGTGCAACAGAACCAATCATGTCTCAACTCCATAATAATAATAATCCTTGCATTTGATATTGCGCTTTTCACGTCTTCTAGACGTCTCAAAAGTGCTTCACAGAACAGACTGTAAAGTGAATTGACTGTATATTTGTGGGCGAAACGCGGCAGCCAATTTTTCGCACAGTAGTGACCCACAAACAGTCGTAGATTGAAAATGACCAATTTATTATTGTTTTTGTTTTTGGAGGGATTATTATTAGGCGCTTTGGGACATCCTCCCAATGTGAAAAGCGTTATGCAAGTGTAATTTGTTGTTGTTGCTCCTCCGATTGCTCAGTGAATTTATTCAGTGAGGCGCTGAGCTGTGCAAAGATCCCAGGTTCGAACCTTGATCCTTTCTTAGATAGCTGATACCGGGCAAGATAGCATTTAGCACTCAACAACTAACCTCAGCACCCCATGTTAAGGGAATTAAATTAGTTGCTGATCGTTATCCCAAGACTCTGCTTAAAGCTGTGCATGTACGGACATTTGGTGAAGGTGGGATTGGGCACAGAAATTGCACCTGCTTGATGGAGTAGCCTCCCTGATATAATTATAATAGTAAAAATAATCATTGTATTTGATATCACGCTATACCATGTCATTGAGACGTGTCAAAGCGCTTCATAGAATATATTGTAAAGTGGAACTGTGTATTTTGTGGGCGAAACATGGCAGTGAATTGCGCTCAGCAGTGCCCCACAAACAATCATGGATTGAGTGACCACATTTATTTTGAGGGATTATTACCCCTGGAAAGCCATCCGCCAATCAACTAACAACCGGGTCTTACTTACTGCTAGGTGAAGAGGGGCGTGTGGAGTAAGGAAATTTGCTTAAGGTTTCGCCCGTCCTCTCGCTTGCAAGGCGGACGCGCTAATCACTGTGTCACGGGACTCCTGACTGACAAACAAGGTGTATTGTGACTGATGATCTTGAAACCTACCTCACACCTACCCTGAGCCAGACAGTATGAATAGGGTGGATTGGAAATATGAGGTGACACTCAACCTAACAAACATAACTGGCTGAAAAATGTCAATGCTTTCTGAAAAGGGGTGGGCGGGAAATCCTAGCACATCTTCACTTTGAAGACATTGTGGTTTATGTTGAACAGTGTGTTAGATACCAACTTGCCATCAAGCTGTGAGTTCATTCAGCCTCCCACCTGACATCCAAATGGACTACGATGAGATTTTTTTTAGGTATTTCTGTTAAAGTAGAGAAATGGAATTCCTCCAGTGGTAGCTTAGTAAGCTGATAATTAATAGACCTGAAAGAGCCCATTGCTTTCTGGTTAGTTTCATTGCTTTCATTCTGTTCCTGAGAGACTCCTGAAGTAGCGGAGCCATATATACACAAGATAACTGCTTGTCACACTCCACTGGTTGTAGGAGCCTATGCCAATTTCTCAGATCCAAGCTTAGTAGCTCAGAGAGTTGAGGTTGGAAGGTCAGGCGTCAGATATGTGAATTTGTGGTCCAATTATTTTTTATTTATAATCTTTCCCTGTAAAAAATGCATCAACAAAATATTGAGCAAAGTGTGCGGTATTCCAGAGTCAGGATAGCAGGCAGCAATGGGCAGAACTTACAGTGAGTTACTGAAGAGGTATGATTGTGACCAGTCACCGGAGAAGATGCGATCAGCTAAATCTGCAACCTTCTGATTTGTATGGCCCAACACACACTGTGGGGTCCCGAAGCCTTGGCTCCTATCTCTGGAATTTCCATGTGTAGGTGTGATGCATGGAATTCCCAGATTGAATTGGATACTCTTAAGCACGGTGATTGGTTTCCCCATGTACCGGCTGATCCCCAAAAATAATAATTGTTATATTTATAATAATAATCCTTGCATTTGACATAGCGCTTTTCACGTCTTCTCGACATCTCAAAGCACTTCACAGAATATACTGTAAAGTGAATTGACCGTATATTTGTGGGCAAAATGCGGCAGCCAATTGCGCACAGCAATGTCCCACAAACAGTCGTAAATTGAAAATGAACAATTTATTATTGTTTTGTTTTTTGGAGGGATTGTTATTAGGTGTGTGGAGTAAGGAAACTTGCCCAAGGTTTTGACGTCAGGAGGATGTCCCAAAGGGCCTCACAGGATATACTCTAAAGTACAGTGACTGTGTGTTTTGTGGGTTCACCCTCTTAACTCATTGAGAGAGTTGGGAGGAAATATTCTGCTGTGTTGGCATATCTGAAAATAGCAGTTTATATCCCTCTATAGATGAGATGAGCCTTTTCAAGGCTGAAGAGGCCTAGTTTATCTTTGCAGTTACCACACCTGACAGCAATTATTTGTGAAGTACTTGGAGACATTTCAACATTATAGGCGCTGTATGAATGAATTATTCAGTTTGTCCTCAAAGCTCATCCCACTAACACTGGGGAATAGCCTGTTATTCTCCCTCCCTGTCTTTAGAGCTTGAGCAGCCCTGGTGTTGCGGCAGCCGATACCTTAATAACTGAACTCAGTGACTGCCTTCTGCAGTTGTAATTACTAAAGATGGAGCTTGTTTTGCTGAAGGCTTAGGCATACCTTCCTGGCTTCAGTAAAGCTCAATGGACTTTTGAAATACTTGGCCATTCTAACCACTTCAAAATGTACAATTTGTCTTTTAGGCACAAGATTTTCTCACTGATCCATCCAATGTTCTGTGGTGTACTTCAAACAGAACACGGAGAGCATTGCTCTGTGGTTGGGAACCAATCACTCGGAGTGACAAGCTACAGTGCTTGATGTTACTTGCTGAAACTGTGGGTTTTTGACTGCACTCCTCCAGCTTCACAAGCTACCAGAGAAGGGAGGCCCTTGGCATGTTTCCTTCAGTGCTCTAACCGATACGCTATAATGGTGCAGCATAGTGGTTAGAGCAATCGCCTCACAAGCAAGAGGACCTAGGTTCAATTCCCAGGCAGGACAAAACCTTCGTCAAGTTTCCTTACTACACACATAACCAAGCAATAAGTTATCACTTTTACTTTCCGGGGGTAATAATCCCTTCAAAAAAATAATAATAGTTTGGTCACTCAATCCACAACTGTTTGTGGGACACTCTTGTGTGCAATTGGCTGCTGCGAAAAAAAAATCGCCCACAAAATATTTCCATTTACTTTGCAATATATTCTGTGAATCACTTTGAGACTTGTCAACGATGTGAAAGGCCCATCTTGTGCTCCCGTAGGACTCTCCACCTGTTGGTAGGATGGTCCATTGAGAGTGTGGGACAATGATAATAATACTTGGATTTGATATAGCGCCTTATCATGTCGTCGAGATGTCTGAAAGCGCTTCACAGGATACACTGTAAAGTAGATTGACTGTCTTTTTGTGGGCGAAACGAAGCAGGCAATTCCGTATAGCAATGTCCACGTACAGTTATAGAGTGAGTCACCAATTTTATTTTGGGGAGATTGTTGGCCAGGACCATCCGATGGGTTGACGGACAGGCAGATGGTCCCAGTGGGATTGCATATTCACTGTAGGTACTTGAACTGAATGCACTAAAACCACAACTTTAACAAACGTTGGCTGCAACTTTTGGTCCAAGTAAATCATGAACTTTCTTACGGCTTTAATTATATGGATTTTTCACACACAAGGGTTGGTTGTGG